GAAACGTAGTAGACGACGCCATGAGTAAGACAGGCCTAAACGATGAAGAATGAAACAACAGAGAGAGGTGGAAACGGTTGAGCGATGGAAGGCAGTGAACACTGTAGAATCCCTGAATATATGTACACTTACATGCATTTATATGTTCTTCATATCGTTTTTCTGGTGCCATCATATGTGCTTATTAGAAATAAATGAATATACAGAGGAATAGAGCCATACTTCACAGTCTGTCGTAAACATTGCTGTTTTTAACTTGTCTGTATCCATCCATCCATCCAATGGCACTACAGCCCAAGCCGGGCCTTGGCCTCCTTCATTAAACCTCTCCAAACATCTCTATTTACTGCTGTTCTTTTCCATGAACGCGTTTTTAGGAGATTTTTGGCATCCTCATCTACCTCGTCTTCCCATCTCTTTTTTGGTCTTCCAACAGGTCTTTTTCCTTGCATTCTTGCGTTTAGTAATTTTCTGGGGATTTTGTTCTTATGCATGCGGGCCACATGCCCTGCCCATCGTAATCTCTGCAGTCTAGTGTATTGTGCTAGTGTTGGTTCAGTGTATTGTTCGTATATTTCGTTATTATATCTAATTCGCCAGTTGTTATTTTCCTTTATTGGACCCAGTATTCTACGCAATATTTTTCTTTCGAACACGTCTAATGCATTGGTAGATTTCTGTGTTATAACCCATGTTTCACACCCATAACTTACTATGGGTCGGATTATTGTTTTATATACCCGGAGTTTTGTTTTCCGGTGTACGTCTCGCGATTTGAATATGTGGCCCATCGTGAAATAAGCTTTGTTTGCCAGCATAAGCCTTCTATTTATTTCCGGTTCTTCTTCATTATTTTCGACCAGATCCATTCCTAAATACGTGAATCTATTCACGTATTCTATATCGTCTATAAATTGTTGTTGTTGCGCCTGTCTATTTGATCTGGTTTGTATGAGTAGTTTTGTTTTATTTGTATTTATTGTTAGCCCTACAACTTCTGAACTCTGTTTCAACTGAACGTAGGTTTCTTCTGCCGCAGTCTTTGTTCTGCTCATTATATTTATGTCATCTGCGTATGCTGCTAATTGGGTAGATTTGTTTGTAAATATGTTATTTCTGCTCACCGTCAACCGTCTAATTACATATTCAAGAACAAGATTAAAAAGTGTTGGAGCCAGTCCGTCACCTTGTTTCAGTCCTTGCGTTGTCATAAACGCATCAGTGATCTGTCCTTGAATACATACATGTGCTTCTGTTTCTGTCATTGTCATTTGCACTAGTCTTATTAATTTTGATGGTATGCCAAATTCTTGTAATATATTAGGTAGTATTGTTCTATCTATTGAATCATAGGCTTGCTTGAAATCTACAAAGAGATTGTAGACGTCTATGTCATATTCCCATGCTTTGGGTAGTATTTGTTTAACTGTAAATAGTTGGTCAATAGTAGATCTATTTTGCCTGAACCCTGCTTGATATTCCTCGATATTTTTTTCAGTGAGGGGTTGAAGTCTTCGATTAAGAATGTTTGTGAGTATTTTAAATCCCGAACATGTCTGTATCCTAAGCTATTTTTATTTATATTTTCCAACATGCTTCCTTCTTAAAGACGTCATTTATCCTTTCTGAACTTCTCTACAGACCGATTCGTCGCTTAGTTTATATGTAGGGTATCTTTTTACTACATTTTCTTTTTATTAGACTTTAGTGATCGTTATTTTTTATGTATATTCTTAATTTCGCCAAATGGTGGTCTGATCTACAGGTAGCTCCTCTGTATACCTCCATTCCTTCGACCTTGATCATTCACTCTTGTCTAACAACAACAGTCTATTATTAATTTTTGATTGGGAGCTGATTTTGTATATGTATATTTATGTTTGAAGAAACCATTACATATTTTTAACAAATACTGGTCACATAGGTCAATCAGTTTCGTTCAATTTTTATTTTTTTTTCTCTATATGAACCTATTATTTTTTACTATCCTTTCTTCCAGTTATTTAATTAAGGTATCCCATCAATATAATTTATTTGGGAATGTTTACGTTCTCTAGTGTTTCTTGTAGCATATCTTCGAACTGACCTTTTTCTTCTCCTTTACTGTCATCACTTCCTTTCTTTCATTTTTACACAGCCTTTGATATAATTATTAAATTTTTTCATGTTGCTTCAGACACTCTCTTTTCTGCTCTTTGGTCTTTAGTTACTCCGCCGTAGTAATAAATATTATCCAGATCTAGCCATACGGCTCACACTCACTCTAAGAGGAAAATTCACTCATCCCAGATAACTACGGTATCAAAAGGATTAAGCTCTGGTGAGACTCTTTCCGTGTTATCGAGCCCTAGGCGACTTGCTATGTTGGAGTATATCCCAAAAATTTTTTTACACATCTGGACGTTGAGAGCAGTACAGCTTTCTGCATGTTCTTGTAGAGATGTTTATTCAGACCTAGCATTTTTATGTTTTCTAGGAGGTTCTTTTGAACCAATCCAGTAGTAGAGAGAATAATAGGTATTGTCTGGGTACTTTCCATTCTCCACTGTCTTTTTATTTGAATTTCCAGATTATTGTTGTTAAGTATCGCCACATCAATGAATGTTGTTTGTCTCTCTAGTTTATTAACTAGTATGAGATCTGGTCTATTATGTGCCACTGTTTGGTCTGTGAGCACAGTGCGGTCCCAGTATAGCTTATAGTTGTCATTCTCAAGTATACTCTCGGGAAAGTATTGATAATATGGAAAATGGTTGGTTCGAAGAAGTCCCAGTTTGATAGCTATCTGTTGATGAAGGATTTTTTCTATGATAAGGAATCGTTTTTTATATTCTGTTGCAGCAAATGCTTGACAACCCCCGGTAAGATGTTGGATGGTTTCCTTAGCTTGACATCCATATCGGTATTTGTCGTTTTGGACCTGAGGGTCTTTGACGATATATTTCAGGTAATTTTTGTTTCAGGGAACATCTTTCCTGATGTTAGCCAATAGTTCGACGCTATATTGTCGACATGGTCTTGATTGACCTCATTGGAATGTCGCCCGTGCACAGGTTTACCCATCCAGGTGCGCATTTTTTGGTCCTTAGTAACATGGTTAATATTATTATTAAAATGTTTTTTTCTTATTTATTGTTTACGCTCTGTGCATTCCAACATCCTGTGTTCATTGTCAGTTTCTGCAGCTGAGTTTGTTTTTGTCCACTAAAAAAGCTAGAAGACTCTAGAAGACTAAGAAAGCTAAAAAATCTGCACATGGCATATATCGTGAGCTATATTCCTTTTATTTCCATTTAACCGGGTCAATTTACAAATAATTTATATAAAATTATAACGCATGTATGTCATGTTTAAAACTTATTATACAAATACGAATGTAAATCAGCGTGTGTCATGCTGACCCACTTACGACGAAAGTAAACATCTAAATTCAAATTATGTTATGACTTACTATCTTATTTAAAGGTTTTGTTCCACTGACGCTACAGGCCGTTGAAGGTAAATGTTGATAGGACAGAATGTGTTCCAGGTTTTACAGTAGATACTACTAGTAAAAAGGCAGCACAACTACGAGCTCAAAACAGGTCATTTTCCTATGTAAATCTCCATAAGAAATTCCAAGGTTCATTCTGGTCATTTTTGGCTCATTTTGTGGTGGAAACGCGACGCCTCATTAGATCGTGACGTAAGAGGGCTCGTTGGAAAGGGAGGGACGGGAACACGTTGAGATAAAAAAACATTGCAGCGTATTGACAAAAAGACACTAAGCTTGTAAAGTTTAAACAGCTCAACGTACAACAACGGGCAAGGTATCGATGGAAAGGGGAGGTAGTACCAAATATGTTAAGACAACAACAAACGCAAAGACATTGCCAAAAGGGCACAATATCGTATCTCTATGGATCCGATTGCAGCATATAAGGCGTCAAACGAATGGTGAGAGGGTAATGTATTCGTCAAGATAATAAACAGGCACAAAGATATTGCCGAAACGGCATTACAACATATCTCCGTTTCTATTGGTCAGATTGCTACATGTAACACGTTAAATGAAAGGGAATGGGGTAACGAATATGTTAAGAAAAAAAACCGCAAAAAGGACAATGCCAATACGACACTATATTAAATCTTCTGTGATAGTTGTTTGATTTTAACGATAAAAGCGTTAAATGAACTAGGATGGGGTAGTGAATATAAAAAATAGACCTCATCGAAAAAAGTCTCTCTCTCTATCTCAAAACAACTCATTTGATATGTTATTAAAATGATTATAACGTACATCAGCAATTATCACTGAAATAAAACGAATAGGGACGTATACCATTCTTAAAATCTGACCAAACCAACAATCATCCTCTATATAATCTTCTCTGAGCGATCGTTACAATATACGAATCATCAAAATTCGACAAGGTTCTGACCTCTACACAATAAACTCCTATAAGTGATCACTTAAGACCTGAGGGTCTCTTTTCTCAAGATGGGGATAGTTTCCTGTATGAAAAACTGGCATACATTGCAGAAAACTTATCTTCAATTTAGCCCCGAGTTGTTGGGTTTCGCATTTTTAGTGGGTGACGTTCACTAAAGGTTTTTTTATTTTTTAATATACAGTGTGCAAGTGAAGCATGGAATCATAAATATATCTGCGTTATCCCGTACGATATAATAACAAAATTAAGGTTATGTATATTTGATGAACCAGCGATTTCAAATTTTGTATTTTTGACGTTGCGAATGGACAGTTTCTGTCCAGGAAAATAGAAAAAATATTGTAACAGATGAGTACGAAATGGCGAATAAAAGGAGTACATTCTATAACAAAAAAAGTACATTCTACAACATTTAACATTATGATAAAGAAAAGTGGGTGGAAATATACATAAAGGTTAAAGATAAACACAACAACGAAATTCTTAAAAACGAAGAAAATATAACAAATTAAGGTGAAGCTTGAACATAGTTTATCATATATTAGAAGCATTTTAATTTATTCTTACCTTGTTTGCTTGTGTATGTGGGCGAATACCATCTTATTTTGTTGATCAGGGTCAATTTATTTTTGTCAGGACATTCTCGAAAGCCATGATAATTAAAACCCCAATAAAAATCAACCTAAAAATGTATCTAATTCTGTGTAGCATGTAATGTTATACTAATTTGCGGAACAACAAGTGGTAAATAGAAAAATCCAGATTTTATTTAGGTTTTATCTTTATCATTAAAGGTTAATTACTATTTAACTGGGAATAAGCCACAATTAAAGATAAAAATACGTTTATTGACGTTTCAATTTCCACTTCGGAAATCGTTCTCAAAATACAAATAGTATTTTGCTAGAAAAAAAAATATTTTTTCTTCTCAGTTTTTGCCTCTTTTATTTTTCTATATTGAAAGCCTGAAAGTCGTTTTCTTTTTCTTTCTGACATTTTGAAATTATCACCTATGAACGAAGCCTAGCGAATTTAACAAAATAAATCCAAAAACACTTCAAATAAGTTGTCCAAATAATGTTTCTCCAAATAGTATGTACAATAGTATCAACGAAAACAAGACCAATGTATACAGAGTGTCCCAGACTAATTTACCCACGCTATATCTCTTAAACACATAGAGATTTTCGAATGGGACAAAAAGTGATATATTCTATTTTGTAATACACTTTAATATGGCGTAGAAAAAATCATCCCCTAAATATTCATCGCTTATTTACAACCCCTAACTTTAATTTTTTCAATAGCACCCTGTATATTTTTTTATAGTTTTGGATGTGGTCTTCTATCGTCTATTCAACAGATTTATTAAAAATAAAATCGGTTTGTAAATAATCAAAAAATCAATTTATTTTTTATTTTTGTTAAGTGTCCCAGATTAAATTATCAGGCTATATTTCTTAACAAAATAGAGATTTTTTAAAGGGACAAAAATTGGTCTATTCCATTTGTAATACACTGTAATATGACGAAGAAAACATCATCCCCTAAATATTCATCTCTTAGTTACAACCCCTAACTTAAATTTTTTAATGGCACCCTGTACAATTTTTATAGTTTTGGATGTGGTTTTCTATCGTCTATTCAATCGATTTTTAAAAAATAAAATGAGTTTGTAAGGTATCAAGAAAATATCAGTTTATTTTTTATTTTTGTTAAATTAATCAAGATAGCCTTAAAAAATAGAATAGAAAAAAAATATTATGCTTTATTATCACTGAAAATTTTACTATTTTAACTACGTAGTATAACTTCTTACATGCGTACGAAGTACACACTCTTTTTATTTAAACATTTATTTTTAATTTTTCAAAATTTGGTCTTTGTATGAGCATACGTTATCTTCCAGTGTGCAAAATTAATTGTGCAAAAATTAACAAAAAAATCTCTTACAATAAAGTCACAATATTTGAAAAACTTTTGCAGTTATTTTACGTCTTGGATATTACTCTTAATCTAGGTTGCCATGATTTGATCTGTCAAATCAACAATTATTATTTTTGACGTTTCGTATTAGACCAGTATTTCGTATTATATTTGTTGTAATTGTGTATCTATAACATTTCAATATGCCTTATTTATTTTCGCCTGACGAGAACGTTGATATCATTTTGATTGAAGGAGAATGCCTAAAAATAGGAGAATTTCCTGACAATTACAACAAGAAAGGTTTCCAAATCGAAACATTCAAAGCGAAAAAACCTTTAAGAATTTGGAAGGCTCTCGTAGACAGGGACATTTTCCTAATAATAAAAGAGGTACAATTGAACGCACACTAAGATGTAACCAAAACCATATTAATGTACTAGCATATGGTAATTTTTATCCCAAGGTGTCGCGTCAGTTAGAACCCTCGCCAGTGAATGTGGCATTCCAAAAAGTTCTATGCATAGAATTCTCAAAGATTTTAAGTACCATCCTTTTAAAGTGCACCTAGTTCAAGGATTACAGCCTGGTGATGACGAAAGACGTTTTGAGTTTATTGCAAAAATGATGTTAAAAATCAGTGATAATCCACTTTTTTTATCAAAAATATTGTGGAGTGATGAGGCTAGATTTCACAATAATGGTGTTGTCAACCGTCACAATTCCAATTATTGGTCTCCCTTGAACCCACATTGAATGATGGGAACAAGATTTCAGAATAGTTGGGATATAAATGTGTGGTGCGGTTTATTTAATTGCCGTGTTATAGGTCCTTACTTTTTTAACGGCACTCTTACAGGTGTTTGATATTTAGACTTTTTAGAAAACATTCTACCTGAATTGCCCACCCAGAAGATATTCCTCTTCATGAGAGTCAAGAAATGTGGTGGCAACAAGACGGAGCTCCTCCACATAATGCGAGAATCGTTAGCGACCACCTACAAAAGCGTTTTGATAACCACTGGATAGCAAACAACTCTCCAGAAATTATGTGGGTCGCACGTTCTTGTGATTTGTCACCTCTTGACTCTTTCTTTTGGAGAGCGATAAAAGATATTGTTTATCAATCACAACCGCAAAATTTAAAGGAATTAAAAGAAAAAATAAGACAAGCATGTCGCCAAATTACTCCCGTAATGATTCGCGCCACATGTACCAGAAATCTTCTAGAACGGTTCGAAATGTGTATAGCAGAAGGTGGGTTACAATTCGAACATTTAATGTAAATAATATTAGTTAATACCGGATTTAATACTGGTTTACCTGCAAAAGAGCGGCAGTTTATTTATACAATAAATATATTTTCGGACATTTTTTTTTAGATTAGGATGAAAAAAAAAAAGAAGTATACATGAAAAATGAAACGCATTTGAGCATTATCACGTACTGAATAATTATTACTGTTTGGAATATTAGTGTTCACAGAATTATCTGAATCATTACTATTTTGTGGATATATTAAATAGTGGACTGTTTTTGGCCGCCCGTGTGCGATGCACACTTGGTACACATGGTAGCGGCGGCCCTGACTTCGCGTATCGAATCAGTATAACATCAAATTATACTTTGGTAATAATTATTATTGTATGGCTTATATTTCATTGGGAAAAATAGAAATAAAAAGTTACCTGGTGGTTTATCAATAACTTTGATCTAATGATACGCTTACACAAATTCGACTCTGGATGATTCTGTCTGATTAAATCAAGTAATTCGACAATAGCTTTAGAAGCGTATGTTCTTAAATCTGCTGTATTTAGATCTCTGTGAGTTGTTCCCAGTTTTTCGATCCAGCCTCTCCGAAGAAGTGCCCTTCTAATTGCAGGAAAGGAACCTTAAGGAGACAAAACGAATGAATTGTTGATATAATAGGTATACATAATGGGTTTTTTGGGCATATTGGGGAAATATTTAAATGTTAACCACCACTCGAATAAAGGGTGCAAAGGAACAAAGATCGTTATTTTTTACATTTAAATGAGGTTATGTGTTTAAAACATGGAACAAAAAATACCAAAAAATAGGGCTTTTTGTATTTTCAGCATATTCTGGTCTGAAAATCGCAAACCTGATCGTCCTATTAGAAATAACAAGACATAACAAAAATCAATATTTATTAACACGCAGTTGAGTTTATGTGGTAAAAACATTGATGAATTACATAATTACAAAAAAAGGCTTTTTGGAATTTTAAGGATGTTACGAAAAAAACGCAAATCTAACATCGCTATTTAAAAGAATGGAAAATATTACAAAAAAAGTAATTATTGAGAACTTTGCCAAAAATTATCTACATAAACAAAAAATTCTTTGAAAAATTTAAATACTTTTTCTGAACCTAATTTTGATCCAGCAAATCTGAAAAAAAATCAGAGTGTTTTGAGCATGCAAATAGTTAAATGATAATTAGATACTACTTGAATAAAGGGGAAAAGAAAACAAAAATCAATATTTGTCTCATCTAAATGAGGTTATGTGCTTAAAACATAGGAAAACATATCAAAAATTGTGTTTTTTCAAATTTTAAGGTTTTTCCGGAGCGAAATTGAAAAATCTAACCTTACCATTCTAATAATTGGCAACAAATACGCTAAATTTAATTATTTAAAAGTTTGCCAAAAATAACCTGAATAATTTAATTTTTTTGTGAAAATTTCAAATATTTTTCTTAAACTTAATTTTAATCCATTAAAAAAATCACAAGATTTTTGGACATTAAAAGGTACCTATATCTGTCAATTTTTTAAATTTTTTTAAAGCACAAGATCGCTTACGAAAATTTTGTTTTTTTTTAAAAAAAACACTTTTTGGGATAGGGGACCCCAGAAGCCACCTAAGAAGCTAAAAATTTGGTTAAACCGGTTTCTAAATATTTGATTTTAAGTGCCCAACCCCAAATAAAAATAGAGTGAAGTGCAGATCTTACTATCTTACCACGCTGTAGCCTTTGTTTATATCTTTATAAAAATTATCTTTCTTTCATAATATTTAGCAAGAGTATATTCGGGGGAAAATTCTTGTTCTTCAGCCATGTAAATTATAGATAAAAGATAATAATAAAATTATTAACACTCTTTTTAAATATATTATTGACGAAAAGAGGTCAAACTATCGTAATTTTTAAACAAATTTAGTCGACTATAAAAGAGTTACAAGTTTCTCATGAAAACGAAATCATTTCTCTTGCGCATAGTAAATAGAATATATGACAATCGATGTTGCGCGCTACTCGCACGTAGGATAAAAATTACTATTACTTTTTGATCATTTAATTTGAAAATCTGAAACTTTCCGAAAAACTGTTTTAAATAATAAATCTTAGTCTAGAATTGGATAAAAAAGATAGTTAAAAAATTTGTAATTCAAATTTTAAATTAGAAAACTATCCAACTAGTAGAATATGATTTTTTGTTTATAATCAAAAATTCGGATCATTTTATTTTTTGTGGAAATATCCCTAAATCGATTCAATATGTAGTTAAATATTAAATTTTATTCAAATTATAAAATCAAAATGTCATCTTTTTTCTTTTTTGTTTGTATGTTTTCCCACTCCTATGAAAAAGTTTTATGTAGAAGAGCTGTGCAGATTTTTATGACAAATATTTTAATATCAAATTTGGCTTGTTGCCAGCAAGTTATGGGTTTTTGATAACTAAAGGCATAGTATTATGGTTAACACTTTTTTGCGCAAGTCCAGCCTGTATCGAATAGAGAGCTGGTCTATTTTTTTTATGGCAGTGGCCCACATCCGCGTCTCCTCTAACCCCCCTCGCCAACGATTGTAGATACGTGTAAACATACCGTTCCAGTTCCTGGCATACCTGCGAAGAGTACAACAAACGATTTACTTTACCATGTAGGAATTGGCGTGCCCGTAAAACGGCCGCAAGCTACGGGGTACGTGTAAACCTGCATAATATATAGAAACTTACCACTGGTAAAACCTAATATTTCAGCTACATTAAACCCCGATGCTAACGGGATTTAAAAAAATTTACCATATTTATAATTAAATAAAATAAAAACAGCTAAATTATTTTAAACGTGGAAACTAAACAAAAAAGCAGGATTTAATTTAAATATTTTTATTTATTATACATACAATAGTTGATTGTATATTATAAGAATAAAATACCAGTTTTATCACGAAAATATATACTCAGTGAAATTAGAAGTGTTACACGCAGAAGGAATAATTTCTTGAATATTAGTTTGTCGTATCGCGAGATAAGTCGTCGTGTTAATTGTACGGCAATGACGGTTATGCGTTTATGTCGTGTGTGGACAAACGAAGGTAGAGGAACACGAAGAAGACCAACTGGTCAACCGAACCGTACCAAAAAGCGTCAAGATTACTGGTTCTGCGAGACCCTTTTGCTACTAGGCGTCAAACTGCTGACCAATGGTTTGGAGTAGTAGGTAAACCTGTTAGTATGCGTCATCGAGCAAAAAGATAAAAGAGAGAATCTAATCGTTATGAAAAGAAGACCAAAAAAGTGGCCTCTGATGGCGGACATATCCGGAAATGCAAAGGCGCTAAATTTAAATTTTCCAACACTTATTAACAATAGCTATAAAACATTTTTCAGACGAGAAAGTTTTAATTAAATATTAACTATAATAGTCTAAAAAGTGACACAATTGGTAAAAAACTTCAATAGAAATAAAATTTCATGTGACAGTTGGGACAAACAATAACATAACCAAACTAAATTTGACTTCTCAAACAAGGAAAGAGACTGTCTTTCCTTGTCTAAAGTGGTCTCTCAAGATAGCACTTCCTGTCTAACAATATTTTTGTCCCCACTACCTTTACATTCCCTCTTTTATCTTTTTGCTCGAGGGTATGCGTACACTATACCGTCGCATTCGAGCTTTTGGACTGATTTCATTCCGCCTACGATTAGTGCTTCCGGACTGCGGACCACTGTCACCAACCTTTGAATTTGTGCAGAGAACGACAGCATTGAGTGGCAGAATGGCTTAATGTAGTCTTCAGCGAATCATGATTCTGTTTAGGAATGCATGATGGTCGTAGTATGGTAAGACGCTGCCGTGGAAAGCGACCAAATCGGGTTTGCTGCTGAGAGGCAAATATACAGGATGGTTGGAGTAATGGTTTGGAGGACTATTGCCTAGTGTAGCCGATCACAACTTGTGTTTATTAGAGGCAATAGGACAGCTGCGATGTCATCTTATGTTCATGCCATCTTACAAACCCCTTTACTGCCTTATCTCGACGGCCGTCGAGCGCGTCCCCGTATCGCTCGTCAAGCTATGGACTTTCTAAAAGAATCTAGCGTTAATGTTTTGGCGTGGCCGCCCCGTGCTTCAAATTTCGGGCCGCCTCCAGAACGAGGTGCCACAAGCAGACATCTATCATCTCATTTATTCAATGCCTAGACGTAAACAGGAGTGTATTGAGCAACAATGTAAATCTACCATGTAGCCAAAAAGTTAAGTTCAAGAAATTATTCCTTCTGGGTGTAACATTTCTAATGTCACTAGGTCACAAGGCTATATATATATATATATATATATATATATATATATATATATATATATATATATATATATATGATTTCGATTGTTTTCCGGGTTTGACTCCGTGTTAAATAGTTTTGGTTTTTAGAAAAACCATTGTTTTGACGACGTTTCGGCAAGGTCACACTTGCCATTGTCAATGGCAATTGTCAAAACAATAGTTTTTCTAAAAAATAAAACTATTTACCGCGGAGTCTAACCATATACATATATATATATATATATATATATATATATATATATATATACATATATATATACATATATATATATATATATATATATATATATATATATATATATATATATATATATATATATATGTTAATGTTACGAACAAAGCCAAAAATGGGAGAATCCTAGCATTGTACGGAAATTATTGTCCACTTCTTGCATTGTACCTCCAAACTGTACAATGTCCGAAATGATAAAATTTTAGATTTTCAAGAGATGTGTATGATAATTTAAAACAATTTATTCCTACAATCCAGAAGTCAGAAACCCTAATTAATTATGGATTATAACCTTATTGATGTTTGTTTGTCTTTAATAACAAATGGGGATAATTGTAAAAATCGATATGAATCGATATCTGTTCTATTATCATATTCTCCCAAACTTTGACATATGTGGCTACCCATTAAAATGCGAACATTGTACAGCAATCCTTTTATATAAAGTTCGACGATTATGTCTATTTTGGAGATTGTACAGTAAAGGAGTATTATGCTAAAAGTAGACAAGATTTTCCGTACAATGCTAGGATTGCCAATTTTGAACACTGCTCGTAACAAATATATAAAAAATATAATTTTCTAATATGCCTATTCTTTCGGTATACTATTTGTATCTTAAAGTTCAACTTGTTCTCTAGATAACAAATTTTTCGCGTTAAAATTAGAATATACTTTTACAACCTTAAATACTACTAAAATAACAAGTAACATAATTATTACAGACTGAGTAGCCGAAATTGTTGTTTCCGAATATTTTATGACATCCGCTTTAAGGTTTACCTCAGGATTTGCCTCTGGTAATGTTTTTTCTTTGCAAGCAACGCCGTAAATATTTGATCCTATAGTTGCTGTACCTTTCAACAATTTAAAATCATGAATAACTTCTATCAAATTTTCACAAGTAAAATCATTAGTATCTATGTTTATGTACACTGCGCCAGTATCGTCCAATAGTTGTTTGCTATTAATGTTTGTGATTTTATTGTTATTGATGTATAAATATCTCAGTTTCATCAATGAATGCAAGTATCTTTTAAGAGTAGTTAGCTTATTATACGAGAGATCTAAACTTTGTAACACACTTAAATTATTTAATGTTCCATAATTCAAGTAACTTATCTTATTATGTGACACGTTTAAGTTTACCAAGTTTGTTAAATTGACAAATAGGTTAACTGGAATAAAGGAGAGATTATTTCCTGCTAAATTTAACGTTTTTAAGTTAAACAATTTTGAAACATTCATGATGTTCTCTTCATTCAGTAAGTTATAACTAATGTTTAAATTTATCGGAGCTGTGTTTAATGAGCAAGAATCAGCAAATAAATGGCTTATTTTATTATAACTAGAATCAAGATTTTGTAATCCTAGAAAGCAAACATTGACAAATGTTAAGTTATTATTTGAAATATCTAAAGTAATAATTTTACTGTTAAATCTACTTAGGCTAAAAAAAGAAATTTCATTGTTGCTCAAATTTAGCATTGTAACGTGAGAATTTTGTCCTAAAAATACATCATCAAAAGATTTTAAAGCATTTTCTGCAAGATTTAGTGAAGATATGTGCATAAGGCCTGTTAAAAAATTTGGATCAACGCTGCTGATTTTATTTTTAGATAGATCAAGGGATTTTAACTGGACTAAATGGTTAAATACTCCGTTGTATATTTTTACTATTTGATTGTTGTGTAGGTCAAGTTGTTCCAAAGCTTGAAGGCCACTAAAAGCACCAGGTTGTAATTTGTTTATAAAGTTTCCTGATAGTTGTAATTTTACCATGAAGGGAAAATTTAAAAATGCTGCCGTTAATATTTCAGGTATACTTGAATCTGAGACTGTCAATATTCTACAATTATCACAAAGTACATCTTTTAATGGAAGCTGGATATTCTGGCAATCAATACGCTCTCGATGACCCGCATAATATTCATCGTCATAATTCACATCACAAGTTGCACTTCCCATTTTTAAATTGAATAAAAAATATATTACTCCAACAAAAGCTGACCATCTGCAAATGATATATTCTATTAATGTTGTAATATTTCTTCTGATTTATTACATAATATAACAATCCTGCATTTCAGAAAATTTAGTAATGTGGCAATGGGTTGAAAACATTTCACACTGTAACTCTTAAAGGACTCAGATAAAAGGAGAAAAAAAAAACAAAGCAAGATATATTCATACTTGCTATTCATTCATACTAATATATGGAACACTATTCCATATATTAGCGGTAACGTTTCGTTTTATAAGAGTAATACTCTTTTGGAAGGATTAGTAAAACTATTTTTTAAATTAAAATAGAAGGCCAATAAGTGACCTCTCATGTTATTAGAAAAGAGAATAATAATGATATTATGACTTACATGAGCAATAATACAATATCGATGGTAATTACAACTACCAGTGTCACAAAGAATTGGTCAACCATTTAAAAATTCTTAAAAACCAATATATTTGAATTATAAAATTAGTCTTTAATTTAGTGTTAGATATACTAAGAAACTCTCACCACGGTAAAAATTAAGATTAGTACAAAAAAATCATTTGGAGGAGCCCACGTTTTCCGACTACCATTTTATACAAAGTAGGAAGGCAACGGGTAACCGTCTAGAGAAGGCAGCTGGAAACCACCTATCTTCCTCAAGAAACAATTATGGAGATGCCTGATAAATACAACGGTCCTGAGTAAGGCTTCCCTTAAATGAACAGGGCCGTTAAGAACCTCTCGATCAGCTAGAAACATAATACATTTTCTGAAGAAAGAAAAATAGGAACGTGGAATATAAGAAACATGTACGAACCAAGAAAGGTTCTCAACATCATAAAAATAACGAAGCGCCTAAATTTAAGTATTTTTGGTCAATAAGTCAAATAAGATGGCCAGGGTTTGGCAAAGTAACTATAGATGATGATATTGTATTCTATTTAAAAGAAGACAGTTCAAAATACAAAAATGGTGTAGCAATAATTGTGACGAAGGTAACAGATAACATGTAAAAAACGTGGTCCTATTCTCTGACAGGATAATAATGTTACAAATACAAACAACAATAAATGTGAATATAATAAAAGCATACGCACCCACAAAAGACAATGAAGAAGAAGATATTAAAATATCCTATCATGATGTAGAAAAAGTATTAGCTGCTACAAAGAAACACGAGATCAATATTGTCAGTAGAGATTTAAATGCGAAGATTGGTGAAGGAGTACAGGAAGATACCATACCCATACCCATTTAGGAAAATATGGTCTAGGAATACGAAATAAAAGAGGAGATATGTTGGCATCTTTTTATGTAGAAAAGCAACTAGTAAAACATAATTTACAAATTTCCAAAGCGTTGTTATTATACTTGGAGATCACCAGCAGATACACCTGAACGAGTGGTTCGTAACCAAATGGACTTTATATGTATAAATTAAAGATACAGCAATTCAATATTAGCAGTCAAAATATATCTAAGTGCATATGTACCAACATTTAATATTCTGGTAGAAGAAAAAATAAAACTGAGATTTAAAAGGGTTGCAAGGTGGAATAAAACAAGAAATAAACAGTGTAACAAGTGTATCGGGACAAAAACTACAATTAACATCAAGTACAGACAAAAGTACTGGAAAACTGGACAAGAAAAAAAGATATATTAAAGACCGTTTAAGAAACAAAATTAAGTACATCAAAAACATGAAAAAAATAAGTACAAGAGGATCCACGCAATAATCTGGCAGAATATAAGACATACGAAAACACTATTTTATAGAAAATAATGTAATGAAATGGAACAATATAAAAATAATTACGATAGATTTCATCTGAACAATAAATTAAAGGAGATCGCTGGAAACAAACAGAAACAGCTTTCCCAAAGTTTAGAAGACAAAAACGAACACAAAATTTTAGATATTGAGAATAGAAAAGGTGAGATTCCATGGGTAATATAAGCGGCAAAAAATGAAAGAACACTTGGCACCGAACACGAAGTAAGTACTAAAATAAGCTTTTGTTAGAAAAAATGGAATTAAAGTACAATGTGGTGTCTTTAACAGAATTTATGACACTAGTATTTTACCAACTGATTGGATTAAGTCCACATTTGTCACAATACCAAAAAAACATCGTGCAAACACATGAAGTGATTATCAGATAATATATCTAATGATTTAACGATAGTTTTAATTACTAAAAACGTTTTGAAGATTTTTCTACATAGCAGAATATAAACGATATTAGAAGAGAGAATTAACAATACCCAATTCCGATTTAGGAGTGGCTTGGATACGAGAAAAGCCTTGTTTAGTGTTTAAGTTCTGATAAAGAGATGCAGAGATATAAATAAAAATGTGCAAAAAAGGAGAAGCAGGAAAGAACTTGCTTAAATATTAAAACATGCATAGGAGGTACAAGAACTTCGGAGTCATGGAAAGTACTGAGAGAATTGAAACAAAACTCAAAAGAAAAAATTAAGTTGGGAAATATACAGGACAAAGAATAGAAGGGCTATTACAAGGAACTGTTGTAAGATATGACTTAAAATAAACATTAGATATCTTTCTTCTTCTAGTTCCATGACCGTTATCGATCGTTGGATATCATGTTGGCTACCATATTCGCTATCGTGACTTTATTGACAGCAGCTCTAAATAACGATGTAGCTGATTTTCCATACCATTGCCTTAGATTTTTTAGCCATGATGTTCTTCTTCTACCAGGACCACGATTACCTTGGATCTTTCCCTGCATGATCAGATGTAAAAGATCATATTTTTCAGGTTGTCTCATAATATGACCGAAGTATTCCAGCTTGCGTTTCTTTATTATATTGACCAGTTGTGTTGTTTGGTTCAGCCGTCTAAGGACCTCCTCATTTCTAACTCTGTCGACCCAGCTTATTTTCAGTAGTCGTCTGTATACCCACATCTCAAAGGCTGTCAAGCGTTTAAGCATAGCTTCAGTTAGGGTCCACGCTTCTACTCCATACAGCAGGACAGGAAAGATGTAGCAAGATATCATACGAAGTCTAAGGTCAATGCTAAGATCATGACTGCAAAGTACGTTTCTCATTTTTACAAAGGCAGCTCGGGCTTGTTCTATTCGGCTTTTAATTTCTGCGGTTGGATCCCAGCTCTCATTGATATTACTGCCGAGATACACGAGTTTCTCTACTCTGTCCAGTGTGGCATCTCCGACTTTTATACCGTCATCATGTATATAATTTTGTTTGCTAACTATCATATATTTAGTTTTCTTAACGTTGAGTTTTAATCCATACTGATCACAAGTCTGTTTTATTTTGTTCATTAGATTTTGAAGGTCTTCCCCGCAATTGGCAAGGACTAAGGTATCGTCGGCATATCTAATATTGTTGACGGTTACTCCATTCACAATAATACCTTCGGTTGTCTCCATTAAGGCTTCCTTAAATATTTCCTCCGAATATAAGTTAAAAAGTAAAGGCGACAATATACAGCCTTGTCTCACTCCTCTTTTTATATTTATTTCATCCGACAGTTCTTGTTCAACCTTTATTCTTGCCACTTGATGCCAGTATAGATTTGTAATTATTCGTAGATTTTTATCGTCCAATCCAGCTGTTTCCAATATTTCTAGCATTTTGTTATGTCGGACTTTGTCAAAAGCTTTTCAAAATCGATTGCACAAATATACACATTTTGATTTATATCTCTGCATCTGTGTACTAGCATCTGTATACTAAACAAGGCTTCTCTTGTACCCAAGCCACTCCTAAACCCAAATTGAGTATTGCTAATTCTGTCCTCTAACAGCGTATAAATTCTGCTGTGTATAACTCGCAGAAAGATTTTCAAAACGTGACTCATCAGACTTATTGTCCGATAATCACCGCATGTTTTTGGACGATGTTTCTTAGGTATTGTGACAAAGGTCGACTTTAACCAATCAGTTGGTAATATCCCAGTGTCATAAATTCTGTTAAAGAGATTACACAGAGCTTTAATTCCATTTTCTCCCAAAAACTTTAGTATAGCTGTTTATTCAAGAATGCCTAACACATGTGTATCAATAACTTCTAACCGAAGTGTTGCGGCTACCACTGACAGGCGCCTAGATGACAACTGTCCTAACAGATAACTTTCATTACCATTACCTTTTAGGACTTCAGCCACATTTACATATGCCATTAATATAACACATATTACAACTGTTAACAAAACAAAGACCGCAATTCATTGGAAAAGAAAACAGGCGAAGGCAAAGTAGATCTGCACAACGGGAAATAGAAATAATAGATAGAGAAATAAAAAACGCCATAAAAGCAATCAAAAATTAAAAAGCACATCGGATGATAAAATGGATATTTAAAAAAACCATACATAGAGAACAGCTCCCAAAGGAATGGACGGAGGCATATATGACATCTACATTTAGGAGGGGAGATAGAAAACAATGCGAAAACTACAGAGGAATAAGCGTAGTATCATCGATAGAAAGATTAAATGAGAAGATACTGCGAAAAAAGATAGAGCGAGCGATAAATGGCAAAATCGGGGAGGATCAGGCAGGCTTTGCGGCAGGAAGATTATGCATAGACCACATATACACACTGGAACAACTATTGGAAAAGAAAAAAGCAAAAATTAGAGATATACATTTAGCATTTTTTAACCTGAGAAAGGAGTAGCACTCTGTACCAAGAACAGAAATATGGGAGGCAATGTACAAATTAGAAATACAGACGGAACTCATACAAACTACAAAAACTCTGTATAAAGATAATTAAGTGTCCATTAAAATGGGAACAAGAATCATAGGAGATTCATAGATCATAGGAGACCACAATAAAAGGGCTTTTGCAAGATTATTCCACATCTCCAACCCTATTTAAAATATACTTAGAGAAAGCGTTGAATAAATGAAAAAGAAAATATGAAGGCATGAGAGTACTGGTACAAAATGAATACCTATAGACCTCAGTT